CTATACATATAAAAACACCTTATATTTTTATATGTATAGTGCTATTTTATACAAAATTTCGGTAGTTTCCAAATACTATTGAAATTGTATGGCAGTCAAGAAAATTCAACAACTTTTATCACATATAACATTTGCGAAATTTCGATATTAGATTTTCGACAATTTCTAAATATAGCCAAATAGCTTTACCTCGATCACATCATCATATGTGCCTCGATCATATCCAATTTAAATAGGATTCCAGCATTTACTACTATAAATAATTTGTGAAAATTAAGTTAGCTTACCTCAATTAATTTTTAAGTTATCGCTGGGACGGGCGGTCAAACAAGGTTATTAATCGCATCAAAATTTGTACTTGATCAAAATTATGTACTTATGTCTATAAGACCATTATTTCTTAAAGCAAACCTATAAAAGCCTTTAAACACAAATTTGTACGGGTCTAAAGAGAAAATTAATCTCGCAAAAATAAATTTGCCTAGTAACGAAAATCAAAAACCTTTTTTTTTTCAAATTAGAATTGATTGCCTAAATCCAAAATATTTTTAGCGTTTTCCGACTTAAAAATAGCATTAATGACAGACCTCTAGAAATAATCTCCGAATATATTATCTTGAATAACTACATCCAATCAATTTAATTCCAATACCTTAACAATCATTAACGTAACGAACGTTTGATTAACTTAAACTCTATCGTAGTTGATCTATGCGAATAATAATTGTTATTAAATTTCAATAGAATTTTAATTGTAAGTATCATTAAAATAAAAACAAATTTAATTATTTAAAGCAGATGAAATTTCTGTCATTAAAGACAATCAAGTTTACAAATTACAGCGGTTTAATCCAAATAAATTTTTTTATTTTTCAAGGGTATTATACCGCACAGCTCTAAAATACTCTTAAAATACTGTGAATTACAGTCTTATTAAAAACCTTTCCTTAGTTATGTTGGGAAATTATTTTTTCTGTTTTCCACAAATTTTATGTTAAGAAATTTCTTAAATTTTTAAAGAAAATTTAAATAACTTCATAATACTAAATATACAATGTATTATAAACCATATTCTCTTAATGGATTCTTTTAATTTTATTAAAATATCATTCATTTTCACATTTTTTTCCTCATGCATTGTAATTTTACAAAAAGATAATGGAAAACCTATTAATTAATAAAATTATAAATAATATTGAAATATTCAATTAATTCTTATTTTAAATTAAAATTCATCTTCCTTTTATACACCATATACACAATAAGGATTTTTATTAAACATACATACAAATACATAATTCACATATTATATACAAAATTATTGATTTTGTATTTATGCTATCCATCTTTATCAATATAACACATTATTTAATAACTAAATATAGACATTCATTTATAAGACAATTTATGATTTTAAATAATTACTATTTATATAAACATTTTTCAAAAAAAAAAAAAATGATTACTTACCATTTCCTTGGAATTAATGCCAATTTCCTATATAGAATCTCAAAATAATAATAGATATTTTATAAATGAAGACAAATATGTGTTTTCTAGTCTTCTATAATGTGTGTATGTGTGTTCGTACTAAATATTTTTAATGGATATGAAATGTTCATATTATTTATTTTAATATTGTACTGGAAGAATGCATATAAGAGATATATGAATGTACAAATATATATTAATGTACATATGTATGTACATTAATACAATGATACAATATTTGTCAATAATATTATTTGTAAATTATAACCAATAATTTGCCTTTTTATGTACACATAACATTTATATTTTGTTTTTTATCATATAGGAAAAGGCAAAAATATAAAGATATTACTATTATACAGTAGAATCTTTATATATAGAACACTCAAAATTAGAATTAATTTCATTTGTATAATGAGGAGATTTTGTTATAAAATCGAGATTTTTTAATATTACGGAAAAAGTACGTATAACATAGGCACTCTTTTATAGAGCTAACATACTGACGATTTATACACTATACTTCTAAGAACATCATAATTGCTTTTGTTAAAAATCTTTATTACCCAGAAAGGACTTAGATAATTTATAGAAATTAGAAGGATAGAATTTAAATAAACTTACTAAGATTATAAAGCAACCCTCTAAATTTTTAAATTAGTTTCAATTATCCAAACTGTAATTCAATACGTGCTTGCTAAATAGATGATAGTAAAAATAATAATAGAAAGCAATTGTAAGGTATTGTGAAAAAATCCTGAAGTTATCAATTTTAATATCAGTTTATTATAAACAGACTGTTAAACGGAAAGAGTATCGGAATCGGACACACAAAGTCGATTAATTTCTAAAACTGGCATTCAATTTTATTTTTTTTCCTTGCACTTTTATAAGATGCAGAGTGAATTTACTAAAAAAATGTCAAAAAATCTATCTACATTTAAAAAATTCTATTCATTGAAATGTTTAATATAAACTCTAAAAAAATTTATTAAAATTTAAGAATTTCTTTTTGGAAAGCTTAGCAAACATATTGTATTCTTTGCACTTTCGATAAGCTCAACAAAATAATCTACATTAATAATGGGTATACTTTAAAAAAATATGTCCAGCATACCGTTCACTGTATAGAATCAAAATTAAATTTCCACATCAAAGAAAAATTGCCTTACATTACTTAGAGTTCATAACATACAGAATTCACTGTTTCTACTCATATTTTTATATTGATGTTATTTAAATAATATTATAATAGTAGAAAGTTTCAAACTGTAGACATATACAAGGTAATATTAAAATAAAGTAATTCCACCCAAATGTGTCATAAAGAATTAAATATTAATCGTGTCATATGTCAAATGAACTTTTATGTATAGAATATAAAAATCTTTTTAAATACAGACTTATGTACATATTTATATGCCACGAGAATATAAAATATAGTCTAATTAAACAATAATGCTCATTCTTCTTATAATAGTTTTCCATTTACAAATATTAAATAAATGAGATTTATTTTAATATTTTGGTTTTAAATTTCATTCAAAAAAAGAATAGGTTTAAAAATGAGATTAAGGAAACTAAAGAAAAATTTAAATATTATATTTTATAGGTATTTTAATAAGGTATGAGCATGTGTATGTATAGAAGGTATTGGTTAATTTTTTTCTAATTAAACGAGCTTATATTTTATAATTAAACTTATCATTTTTATTTTGATTCTTAGCAATGAAAATAAGTACGTTAATTAACTACAATTTCATTTATAAAACAAAATATCATAGATCATACCCTAAGGAAAAAAATTAAATTTAAACAAAAATTTTTACGATATTTAAGAGCTTTAAATTATGAAAGAAGTCACTTAAAATCATTTAAAACTCTTGTACTTCTTGTTACTTAAAATTGTTCCATTGATAAAAGTATATGATTTGTAAGACACGTTGTTAAAAAAATATTCTTAGTTTAATATTGAAAATTATTTTTATTTTTGTTTTTAAGTAAAAGCTTTGGAATTAATTTGAAATTTAAGAAAATCAGACAAAATTTTTTTAATTTTAAGAATAATGTTGTGCAAATCAAGCTTCAAAAATAATTTAAGAAAATTTTTAACAAAATTTAACAAAAAAATTGATTAATTGAATGAATTGAATGAATAATAATAGATAAATTTAAAAAATTTATTTAAAATGAAAAAAATTATTTTGTGAAGCGCAACTTAAAGGCCGTACACGCTTCGAGAAAAATAACTTTTTCCATACAAAATATTTCCTGGTTGAAAATATTGAAAAATCATGAAAATATTTTTCTAAAATTATAGGGTATTTTTTCTCACTAGTTACATATAGATCTAAATAGTTAGATCTGAAGAGAAAAAAATTGTATTCGCAGAAATTTCGAATGAAAAGAAAAAATCGAACAAAAATTTGTTTTGTTGTTTTCGAATTTTTCCACATCTGTAAATTACCTCTTTATATAGTATTTCTTCTTAAATTACTTTAATAGTTTTAAATTTCTTTTAAAATTAAATTCGTTGAATTGTTATTATAGCTATTGAATCAGACCAGAAACCTTACAAGTAAACAATTGATCGTCATTATACGAAATTATATGTCGTAATTGAAAACTAAGATCTCTGATATCATCAAAACCATCTAAAAAATTCTCCTAAAGTAATAATATAATATTGGTACGAGCTCAAAACCTTCTACAAAGTAATTTTCATTTAAGAATACGAAAATGCTTTGGTGGAATAAATCAGGTTCTCCTTAGTTCGTATAAAACGATCATCGATAGTTTAATATAATTAAAAATTTTTTATATGCGGACACTCTCCTTTATGGTAAATGTCCACTCCCTCAGCTGTTAAAAATCATTGTACATTTTAACTCTAATTAAAACCCTTGAATTTCTTTTAAATTTTTTAAAGAAAAAAAAAATCATATATAAGTATTTCATAAATTTCGGTCACTGATTACTTTTAACTGCGGCAAATAAAATGTCCATAAATGATTGTCATGCGACTATTATTTTAACTTGTTATAAAACTACAAAGAAGAGGAAAATTAAAAAATAATATGAAGTAAATATTGAAAGAGAAAGTTGGTTGTAAAAATACACTTTTTGTGCACATACATTACATCATGTATTACATATGACAGTGTTTGCACACGTATAAAATATAGAATTTTAGATTGGCCAACCTTAGGGTTCAGTTCTTTTAAAAGCGTAATATTTTCTCATTAACTTTTTACTACATATAAGCACTAAAGTAAAAAAAAAAATCCTAATCTGAAGATCATGTTTAACTTTCTTTACATTTATTATCCTTTATAAAATGCAGTTATTTTTTTTTTTTTTGCTTTGTGTTTTGTCTCCTTGTTAGCGTAGTTTTTTCTCCCCAACATTTTGTTTATTTTTTTATATCCTTGCTTGCAATTCTTGTTTCATGTTTTTTTTTTTCTTGCTTTAATATGACGTTAATGATGAAATATTTTCTCTTGTTACAGAAATCGATATGGTTGGGGTGATATGACAGAAAGTTTTCTATTTTCAACATCATCAAATGGTAAGTTTAAGTAAAAGCATAAATAATAAACAAAAACAATATGAGAACTGAATAAAAAAACAAAAAAAAAATAAAACAATTGCAAAAGTTTGCAAAAAAAAAAAAAGTAAACGAGTAAAAAAATGGAGCATTACACGAAAATTTTGCCATCACTCGTTCAGTTTATTTTTTACTTGAAATTTAATTTTAAAGAAGAAAAAATAGAATATTTTTTTTCCTGTGTTTTGCAAAAAACAGAGAAAAAAAAATTAAATTTTTTTATTATTTTAACTTTTTCAAGTCGACTCGTTAACTTTTGTTTTTAGTTTTTTTTTCTCTCTCCAACTTTTAATTATCTACGTGGTTTCGTCCTTTTCATGTATGACTGATTCAAAAGTTAACTTTTAGTTTTTAAAATAAATGAAAAAATTGTTATTTTAAAGGTTAATTTGAAGACTTTCTATAGATGTTTTAAAGAGAATTCAAATCATAAGGTATACGAAATGATATTTGAATATTTTAAATATAAATGAGTAATTGATTTATGAATTTTTGAAAGTTATCCCGAAGAATTGGAAAATTTTTGGATAACAAATGTTCTTTCCAATTAATTATTGACTTAGTATATTCTGAATTGAAATTGCAATAAAATAAATTCCCTGGTACTATGCCACAAAACGTAAACAAAAAACTGGACTCAAATCAATTTTTTTAAAAATAGCATACTTTCAGGCGTAAATTATTTTTATTAAAAAAAATATATAATTGGGATATGTAAAATTGGGAAATGTAAGAAATATGTAAAATGTGTGTAATATTTAAATTATTCAAAAATATTAGACATCTAAGGCTAACTATCTTACTAGGCTTCATTATAATGTTTGCCGGTGTTTGTTTACCGTTGAAGCGGAAGTTGCTTTTTTTGCTTTTTTTTTTGGATTTGGAAAATATTGTTGACATTTTCTTCGGTCATAACATTTCTCAATGATTTCTGCTCTTGACTTTGCTTAGATGAACATGTTAAATATTTTAAATCTTAGAGCCTATTGTTAAGTATCCCCTTAATTTATCAGGCTTAATCCCCTTAATTTTATCAGGCTATCAGACATTGTTTTAACAGTATGTTGATGATTTGTAAGTTGAATTTTCGCCCTCATTTTGAATAAAATTATGCAATTTTCAATAAACTTATAAATTTTTTTCATTGAAAGTAAAAATTAAACGTTTTCAAAGTAATTGTTTAAATCGTTCAAACCGTAATTTCCTGTTTTATTTTTACTTATGATGAAGTCTAAACAGGAATTACTACTTAAAAAAAATTGCTCCGATATTCAACTGTCTCGAAACATCCAGTATTATAGAATAAGCATAATTAAGAAAAATAACTTTTACATGACGACAAACATTACGACCAAGTTAATGCGGCTTTTTCTGAATACCGAATCATTAAATAGTAGTAATTCGATACTCGGTAATTATTGTAAAACGTTCGATATTATTATTGTAAACACAAATCAGGTCATACAAGTAATTCGTGTCTATAATAAAGTTTTTAAAACTTTTACGAAATAGTATCATAATCACTTATTGATTTGTCACTATCACTAAATGATACACAGAATATTCGATACTCAGAATAAGCCTCAATATTATCATTAAATGAAATATTGAAACGATTAACACAATCATAATAACCTCTGCGACTCTAAAAATTTGAAATGGAAAAATTATATACTCTTTACTTTTAAAGTAAAAATAAAATACTAAGCGTATATTTTAGTACTCGTATTGTCATTGTAGTATATCAAAGTATTAATAGAATTCATGAGAAATAAGGATAGCTTTAAGGCCAATGAACGATTCAAAATTAATTTATTTTCAGATTTATTTTTTGAATACTCAGAAATCATCCAATTAAAAAAGGTTTTTTTTTTTAAATTATTGAATTTAATTCAAAATACATACACACGTATAATAGTTTATTATTTTATGATTTGCCCACCCCCACTCATTTCTATGAAAATTTTAAAAATAACTTGTTTTCGTAAATATATCAATAAAATCGTGTAAATTTTAATGATTTTCTAGAATTTTATTAATTTAAAAATTTTTTAATTTATTTCTACGAAAGGCTTAAATTTTTATTTTTTCGATTTTAAAGGTTTTTTATAAATATTTTTCTCTAAGAATTTTTGACGAAATACATAATTACTGTATATATATGTAATTCCCTTCATTTTGCTTATAAACTTATTTTAACAAGTGAATATTTCAAATTCTGCTTGTCGTATTATTATATAGCTCTTAAATTTTATATGCCAAATTAAAAGCACTAGATAATAATTATTTTTTGCTTGTTCAACAAAAAAGTTTTGTTGGAATTATTAACCATACAATTTATTCTTCTATCAATTTATTTTTATTTTAAAAACGTTGTTCTACGCTAAAAAACACAATTTTAAATGTTAATAAGTCAAAAAAGACCATATAAGTACGAAGTCGAGCAATTGCAGTAAACAAACATTCAAAATAATTTTTTAAGAACGAATTTTTAATATGCTTGGGATTTTAATTTAATTTTAAATGGAATTTGAAGAAGGTTTTTTAAATTTCATTTTTAAATAATAAAACATGCCTTTTTGTTAGAATCACAATTTTTAGCTCATTCGGAAATTGTCACTGAAAACACTAATAAAAGTTATTATGTAAATAATTCACTGAATTGAATCTAGAAATTACGAGATGTTCCTTCGAAAATTCTTACATAAGAGTCAATAGAATACCTCTCATAGTTTACAGCGGTGGAGACTTTTGTGTAAAATTTTAAAAAATTTTCAATTTTTTGCCAAGGTAGGGGGTTGTGTAAAATTTTAAAAAATTTTCAATTTTTTTCCAAGGTAGGGGGTCGTGCAAAATTTTAAAAAATTTCAATTTTTTGCCAAGGTAGGGGGTCGTGCAAAACTTTAAAAAATTTTCAATTTTTTGGGGGTCGTGCAAAATTTTAAAAAAATTTCAATTTTTTGCCAAGGTAGGGGGGTCGTGCAAAATTTTAAAAAATTTTTAATTTTTTCCCAAGGTGGGGGGTAGTGCAAAATTTTAAAAAATTTTCAATTTTTTGCCAAGGTAGGGGGTCGTGCAAAATTTTAAAAAATTTCAATTTTTTGCCAAGGTAGGGGGTCGTGCAAAACTTTAAAAAATTTTCAATTTTTTGGGGGTCGTGCAAAATTTTAAAAAATTTCAATTTTTTGACAAGGTAGGGGGTCGTGCAAAATTTTAAAAAATTTTCAATTTTTTGACAAGGTATGGGTCGTGCAAAATTTTAAAAAATTTTCAATTTTTTGACAAGGTAGGGGGTCGTGCAAAACTTTAAAAAATTTTCAATTTTTTGGGGGTTGTGCAAAATTTTAAAAAATTTCAATTTTTTGCCAAGGTAGGGGGTCGTGCAAAATTTTAAAAAATTTTTAATTTTTTCCCAATGTAGGGGGTCGTGCAAAATTTTAAAAAATTTCAATTTTTTTCCAAGGTAGGGGATCGTGCAAAATTTTAAAAAATTTTCAATTTTTTGACAAGGTAGGGGGTCGTGCAAAATTTTAAAAAATTTTTAATTTTTTCCCAATGTAGGGGGTCGTGCAAAATTTTAAAAAATTTCAATTTTTTGACAAGGTAGGGGGTCGTGCAAAATTTTAAAAAATTTTCAATTTTTTGACAAGGTAGGGGGTCGTGCAAAACTTTAAAAAATTTTCAATTTTTTGGGGGTCGTGCAAAATTTTAAAAAATTTCAATTTTTTGCCAAGGTAGGGGGTCGTGCAAAATTTTAAAAAATTTTTAATTTTTTCCCAATGTAGGGGGTCGTGCAAAATTTTAAAAAATTTCAATTTTTTTCCAAGGTAGGGGATCGTGCAAAATTTTAAAAAATTTTCAATTTTTTGACAAGGTAGGGGGTCGTGCAAAACTTTAAAAAATTTTCAATTTTTTGGGGGTCGTGCAAAATTTTAAAAAATTTCAATTTTTTGCCAAGGTAGGGGGTCGTGCAAAATTTTAAAAAATTTTTAATTTTTTCCCAATGTAGGGGGTCGTGCAAAATTTTAAAAAATTTCAATTTTTTTCCAAGGTAGGGGGTCGTGCAAAATTTTAAAAAATTTTCAATTTTTTGACAAGGTAGGGGGTCGTGCAAAATTTTAAAAAATTTTTAATTTTTTCCCAATGTAGGGGGTCGTGCAAAATTTTAAAAAATTTCAATTTTTTGACAAGGTAGGGGGTCGTGCAAAATTTTAAAAAATTTTCAATTTTTTGACAAGGTATGGGTCGTGCAAAATTTTAAAAAATTTTCAATTTTTTGACAAGGTAGGGGGTCGTGCAAAACTTTAAAAAATTTTCAATTTTTTGGGGGTCGTGCAAAATTTTAAAAAATTTCAATTTTTTGCCAAGGTAGGGGGTCGTGCAAAATTTTAAAAAATTTTTAATTTTTTCCCAATGTAGGGGGTCGTGCAAAATTTTAAAAAATTTCAATTTTTTTCCAAGGTAGGGGGTCGTGCAAAATTTTAAAAAATTTTCAATTTTTTGACAAGGTAGGGGGTCGTGCAAAATTTTAAAAAATTTTTAATTTTTTCCCAATGTAGGGGGTCGTGCAAAATTTTAAAAAATTTCAATTTTTTGACAAGGTAGGGGGTCGTGCAAAATTTTAAAAAATTTTCAATTTTTTGACAAGGTATGGGTCGTGCAAAATTTTAAAAAATTTTCAATTTTTTGACAAGGTAGGGGGTCGTGCAAAACTTTAAAAAATTTTCAATTTTTTGGGGGTCGTGCAAAATTTTAAAAAATTTCAATTTTTTGCCAAGGTAGGGGGTCGTGCAAAATTTTAAAAAATTTTTAATTTTTTCCCAATGTAGGGGGTCGTGCAAAATTTTAAAAAATTTCAATTTTTTTCCAAGGTAGGGGGTCGTGCAAAATTTTAAAAAATTTTCAATTTTTTGACAAGGTAGGGGGTCGTGCAAAATTTTAAAAAATTTTTAATTTTTTCCCAATGTAGGGGGTCGTGCAAAATTTTAAA